AAGTTAAAAAGACAACAGTTCTGAGCCTGAACAGACACCATAGATAATTTGCAACTAACAGATGAAATCAAGTATTTCCCAAGGAAAGGAAAAGAAATACAACTTCTACATGGATTGCTGGCTGACGCTAAAAGACCTAACAACACTGCAGCAAAGGCCAACGTGTTTGCCTCGGTACCACAGCACCTTCCGTGAAGCCTGTATATTTGTGGGCCAAACTATCTTCAAATTAACACGGGTAAGACATCTGTTCATTTTAGTGGCAGCCATGTGCAAATAGGTGAAGGAAAAATTTGTTCCTAGAGTCACTTCTTTTATGATTTAATATGAAAAGAAACTGTTCCTAATGCAGCTGCTATATGAAGATTGTCCTTAGACTCTGTATCAGAATACAAATGTAATTCTCTGATTACTCAGTGAAATGAACTCTCTGCAAAGAAAAAAAAAATGCAGAAAAAGGGGAAATTCTAAAGAAGTACTAGCATTTGGTACCTCTCTGCATGTGGAATTGCCAAAAGGTGGCATCCAGAGCTGTCAAACTAGCAAAGTCCTCTGTTTATTTACAGAACAGGTACAAGACACACTACAAGAACAAAAGCTTTCCCTGTACCACATAACCAACAGGCCTGGGCTGGAAGGACCACCTCAAGAGATGAAACGATAGCTCAGTCTCCATAGCAATCACTTGCTCTACTGATACCAATAAGATTACTGATGCATGGCGGTGGTTCTCATGATACGGATACTAAAGTCCCTCTTACACTAGGAGATTTCGGCACATGTTACATAACATTAGAACCAGTCCTTCTCCTCTCTCTCAAGCAGGTAAACACAAACTTTGTTAATTATGTTAACCTTGTCAAGAGCCTAAGCAGCATGTATTCTTTGCCTGTGCTAACTTTTAACATTAGTGCTATTAAACAAGGAATCTGGGCAAACTCAACCGACACATTACAATTAGTCAGTCATGTCTCATGGCTCACCCCTCTGAAAGCCTTCCATCTGCTTTCTGTATTCCCCCAGTTACTGTGAATTCAAGGTGTGCTGGAAACTATGGGACAAATTTCCAACTGTACTGCTTTAGTATCCAAAGGCTTATGGTCAGAGGGAAAAATGCAGGTGAGACAGGACTGATAGACTGAATACTAAGCCAGTCACAAGCTAATAGTAGTATTTTAATGTCATGCGTTTTGACATGAATGTCTCCATTTTGATGAGACAGTGGGAAAAGGTTGTTAAAATGCAAAAATAAAAAGGCATTGTCTATGGAAGAATACAGGCTCAAAGCTGACTAGTTTATACAAAAATAATCAAGCTCCATACCAAACTACCTGTGAAAAGTCAGAGTGCAGTAAAACTCATCTGTGATTGCAATCTGTCAAAAAAAAATTCATTCTATTACACTATGAAATTTAGCTAATCTAAAATTCTACTTTGAATAGTCTACTCTGTTAACGTGACAATTCTGAGAACACATTTTGAAACATCCTCTTTTCCAAAGAGACCTTTTCACATTGTGAAAACCCAAGCGGAAAGAAAAAGTTTGCGTGTACATAAGTACTCCACTCTCCAAAGGAAGCAAATAATCACTTGGATCCAAGCAACTCCTGCATCCAGCTACAAACAATTTCAAAGGATTCCCCCCCTCCCCCCCCCGAAAAATTAGCAATGAAAGTGCTTTGAAAATCCAATCTTGTCCACACAATAGGAAGTGCATTACATAAGATAACTGGTATAAAGTCTCCACAAAAGCTCCATGTAAAAACGGTATCATTATGTTTTTCCCCCCTATTAGACTTGGAGAAATAGTCTGCTTTTACTCAAAACTTTAAAAGACTTAATGTATTTCATGAGAAATGTAAGCATGCTGTAAAGGATTAAATCCATACAAGATGCGGTAGTATCTAGGGTTTCCTTGCAACATGATATGCAGAAGTGAATCCTTTTCATCTATAGAGATTCCTAGTAAACCTGAGGAGTCTCACAGTGAACATAAGGTTGCAGGAGTGAGGCTTTAGCTCATAGGCACAGAGGATGTTTACTTTATTTGTGTCCAAAACGTTTCTAGTGTGAAGTATTTCTTTCACACATGATGGAACTCATAGATGATTTTCCCTCTGTTTTTTATTAAAATGATGGAAAGGAAGCTCTTGGTCACATATAAATAGACTGTTCAAGGGAAAGATGAAAATAAAGTTACACACTTTCAAATCACTAGATTTCTCTCCTAATATCTGAACCACTATTTCAGAAGAAAAAACGTGAATTTGTACAAGTAGTGTTCTCTATGTGCTGAATTTTTCCTTCTAACCCTGTAAAGAAAATCTACTGCAGAATTTCTTTACTTTTCGCCTCCATACTCTTACTCAGGGGATATTTCACAAGGTGTGTATGTGTGGGGGATGGGGAGGTGAAAAGGAGAAGAGCTCAAACAAGCGTATCATTTAAAATTTCACATATTAATGCTCTGAAATAAAGAATATGTTTGACTTTAAGACAGGGGATGCTACGATAATTCTGATCCAAATAAAATAACAAAAATATCATGCTTTAGTGTTTCCAATTAAGTTTGATTTGTCCAACCATTCCTGTCTACTATAAGAAATACATTTACTTCTGGAACAAAACAAAACAAAAAGAAAATAGTGAACTTTCAGCTCCCACTTGGCACAAAGTAGTGGATCGGCACCAAATGGCAAAGCAGCAAAATAATATTTGGCAAAAGACTGGAACTCAATTGCTGCTAAGGAGCATTCATGCAAATGCCACATGTGCCTAAACTACAGCCCTGAAAATAGCAGCCAAGAATGATCAAGTCCTCTCTTCTTTTTTGGAACCAGAACACTCCTTTCCTCCCCCCCCCCCCCCCCCTTCTTAAAAAAGGGAAAGGGGGAGGAACCCAAGGAGAGAAAGACAGCAATTCAAAGCTGCTGTATGTGATCAATTCAGAAAGTTGCGTTAGTCTTAGTTATAATTGAATGATCTGTTTCAGCAAGACCTCCTAGAACAGAAGGTAGAGGCTACCGTAGAATTTTGATACTAAATGATGTAATCTGCAAAAATACATAAATTTGTTACTATGAACTACTTGGTAACCCAGGCATTTTAAAAGGAATCACCCACCTGTCTATTATTCTGACGTTAGGAACAAATTATGCTAAATAACAAACAGAATAAAGCTATCCCTATTACTCTGTTTTTCTAATTCTAGAAGAATCAAATATCAGCACAACTAGTCTAATAATCAAAAAACTGAACACAATTAAAATATTTTTAGTTTTGAAATGTAAATAGAAAATTTCAATACAGACATCAATAGATGGGAAAACAGCACAAAAATGACATCTTATTTTAAATACCCATTCTGACCCCACAGAACTGAATCAGTGCATCGCCACACTTCATCAAAAGATAGCCAGAAACCTTTCCTCGTATACTTGACACTAAACAGGCAGTTTTGATAAGTACCACTGATACTGATAGAAAGACCATCTGAGAGTAGTACAAGTAGTACATGACTTTGACCAAAGCCATTTGTATCAATCACATGGGAAGAGTCAATAGAAGACATTCAGTTCCAGTATATTTGAACTGCTTTGGAAAAAAACTCAGTTTTACTGTGGATCAAATATATACGCCACAAGTTCAGCTACCACTCTTCAGTGAAACAAAAAAGTTATAATGGTAAACAGCACGTACAGGCATCCAGATACTGTATTAAATGCCAACAGAGATTTATCAGATTTGACAACAAGCAGAATATACAAAGCTACAGTGAACAAAAGGGTGAAAAGAAGAAAGATTATGAAATACAAGCCGGTGTGCTATAATTGAATATCCAAAGAAACTGAAAAACCCAAAAACAAAAACATAACCACAAGTCCAGAATCATTCACGCAAAAAAGGAAAAACCAAAACACTACGAAAATATTTTCACTACTTAAACTTTAAGCTCTAAGCGGTATACAAATGAAAACTACAAGAGAATTTGAAGAGCAATGAACTGTAGTTTATTCAGCTAATGTATTTTTAATGCACTGAGGAAAAAACTTCAGAACTATAAGAAATAATAAGGTACCCATTTGATATCAAAATTCATTTAGTTACTTTTATCTGCAAAACATCACATTGTACAGTATTTTTTCCTTAATAAATCAGTGCTGAGTAGACAAACTCTGGTTTGTAGAACAAGGCCAGAATACAAGTTTGAAATGTCCTAAGAGGGGAGTTAGGGGAGGATAGGGCATCGCTGGCAGGTCTTCTTTACTCAATGGAGCTTCAGACTTGCTTTTACACTACTATGTCAAACCCCTGTGCACCGTTTGCAATGCCTTGCAGAGCAGTGACCACGAAGATCAAGGCTCTTAATCCTGACACTGAAAACCTTCTGCTCTGCTTCTACACTAAAACGTCTATTTTCAAATCGAGCGCAAGATCCATCCGAGGGCATCCCTGTCTTTTACTTGGGCGAAGGAGTGGACAAGGGGGAGGGGGGAAGAGAACAGTCAGACGATAGCTTCATAACCTCAACCGAGATAGCAATACCAAGTCATAACCATCCAACACTGCAAACTAACAGCTTTTTTTTTTTTTCCCCCTTCCCTTTCCTTTCCACAGCCCCCACCCCCTTCGCTCGGGAGGAGGTGGGGACGAGAAGGGTGATCCAGAAGGCTGCGGGGAGCTGGGAATGGGGCTCCCGGCTCCCCCCTTTCCCCCCCGCGCCGCCCGCGCACGGAGCCGCAGGAGGTTATGTATCATTTTATAAAGCTACATTGTATCCTGTAGACGTGACCTGCAGACGCAGCAACGGGAGGCTGTTTGGGGGGGAACTGGATTGGGGGAGCAATGGAAAGGGAGCAGGGATGCTACCCTGGGAGGGGGGGGCAGGGTTCCCTTCCCCCCCCTCCCCCCCAGTTTTTTTCGCCCTGTCACAGCCCTGAGTTGCAGGTAGAGAGAGTTAAGAGATTTAAAGAGAAATTGCTACATTGTAACAAACTCACCGTGATGTTTGAGCAGCAGTCAGCGCGGGGTCTCCGAGACATCCCCGCACGGGCTCCGGAGGCAGGACCCCAGCAGGCACAGACACATAGAGGTTCAGCGCACTGCCTGATTGCATAGCCGCGGCGTCGCCGAGGAGCAG